AGCCATAGCTCAGAGGTCCAGCAACTTGCCTGATGCCACAAAGCCAGGATAGCAGAGCCCAGGGTCAGTTTCCATACCTGCTAACTCAACTTCCTACTACTCCAGCTATACCAAGGCCCCCAGCTATGTCCCCCAGCAAGCTCTGACCTCTGGGAGTATAGTTTCCCTAGAATGCTGCAACAGACCCAAACACACCTCTTCTAACCGTGTACGCTTCTCAGAAGGCTCAGACCCATCACTGTCATTTCCTGAAAGCTCTTCATCCTCTGCTTCATCCCGAAAGATGTCATCATAGGCAGGAACTTCAAGGTCATCATCTTGTTTAATGAGTAATTTGATCTAAGTTTCAAACAAAAAACAATCAGGTTTCTTTCTTCCTTGACACAAAACTATGCTCATGATGTGTTCTTTTCCCACAGAGCATTATCATTTCCTAATTTTCTACTCCTGTTTTATTTTTTTCCTTTGGTGCTCTTAGTGGGGCTTAAACTTGGGGCCTCATACTCCTGCTTGGTTTTTTCACTCAAGCCTGGTACTCTATCACTCCAGCCTCCACTTCTGACTTTTCACTAGATAGTTGGAGATAAAAGTCTCATGGCTAGTTTCCAACCATGACTCTCAGATCTTAGCCTCCTAAGTAGCTATGATTATAGGTGAAAGCCACTAGTGTCTGGCTTTTCTCAATTTTCAGTATGTACACATAGCTATGGGTGAAGAGCTGCAGACTTCTCAAGCACTTTTTTGTTTTCAATACTGCTCAATGAGGCCAAAGCCATAGAGGTACACCACATGTGTAGAAATTAGGAAAATCTGAAAACAAGCTTTTGAACACCACTTACGATCTACATTCAGTTTGCAAAGACAGCTCTCTTTTAGGAGACATATCAACACAATTATTATCTCATAACCTGGCTTCTGTGAAGATGGTGCTAGGGTTTGGATGTGGTTTTTGCACTGAAAGTTTGGTTCTCAATATTTTGTGTAGGATCCTTATGACATGGGGCCTAAGTCAGATGCTGGTGGATCATGCCTGTAATCTTAGTTGCTCAGCAGGCTGTACCAGCCTGGGTAGACCAATCTAAGAGACACTTATCTCCAATTATCAGCAAAAAAATGTGAAGATGTGGCTTGGATACTGTGTTGAAAATGAACTATACAGTAATTATAATCCCTCTGTACATCACCTTTATAATAACAATAAAGTAAAAATTATACAACTTGTGGGTGGGGATGAGAAGGAAAAACTGAAAGAGAATGAGGAAAGGAGGTAATGTTGTCCAGAAAGAAATGTACTCTTTATTTGACATATATAACTGTAATGCTCTGTACATCACCTTTATAATAATTTTTGAAAATTTAAAGAAAAAAGAAAAAGCCTTGAGCCAAAAAGCTAAGCAAGAGAGAGATTGTCCCTGAGTTCAAACATTAGTACCCGGTGAAAGGCATGGGGAAAGACACAGGGCCCAGTGGATAATTAGTTCATTGAGAGCTCCACCTTACCAAAGGAACAATGCTGTGTCCATTAGCTACTCTGAGCATGAGTAGTTTACTAAGCTTCCTCAGTTTGCTATCTTGCTTCTTATCTCACTGTGAGATCTCTCTGTATCTGTCTCTCTCCTTTCTTCCCTGTCTGTCACACACACACTCCAGTTACTATGGTACCATGATCAGGCCTCTTTTCTTTTCTTTTTTTAATTATTTATTTTTTGGTCAGTCGTGGGGCTTGAACTCTGGGCCTGAGCGCTGTCCCTCAGCTCTTCAGCTCAAGGCAAGCACTCTACCACTTGAGCCACAGCGCCACTTCTGGTTTTCGAGTGGCTTATTGGAGATAAGAGTCTCACGGACTTTTCTGCCCGGGCTGGCTTTGAACTGCAATCCTCAGATCTCAGCCTTCTGAGTAGCTAGGATTACAGGTGTGAGCCACTGGCGCCCAGCTTCTCTTTTCTTTATATACTATCCAGCATCAGGAATTTTGTCTCTTTTTTTTTTTTTTTGGGGGGGGTGTTTGCTTGCTAGGCTAACAACATACTGCTATACACTGCCTGAAGCTGTTTTTCTGCTATTTTGGGGGCCTAGCGCTGTCTCTCAGCTCTTCAGCTCAAGGCTAGTGCTCTACCACTTGAGCCATAGCATCATTTCCAATTTTCTGATGGTTTATTGGAGATAAGAGTCTCACACTTTCCTACCGGGGCTGGCTTTGAACTGTGATCCTCAGATCTCAGCTTCCTGAGTAGCTAGAATACAAGCGTGAGCCAACCCTGCCCAGCTTCTGCTAGTTATTTTTAGGATAGGGTCCTGCTTCCTGTCAGAGAGTGACATACCTACTTTTTTGTTTTTGCCAGGCCTAGGGCTTGAACTCAGGGCCTGGGCACTGTCCCTGAGCTTCTTTTGTTCAAGGCTAGCACTCTACCACTTAAGCCACAGCGTCACTTCTGGCTTTTTCTGTTTATATGGTACTGAGGAATAGAACCCCGGGCTTCATGCTTGCAGGGCAATCACTCTACCACTAACCCACTTTCCCAGCCTGACATATCTACTTGTATGCTTCCCATTATCATTGCTGGGTGACAGGCTTGCACCACTACATCCAGCTTCTCTCTTTAGGTAAGTCTCTAGGACTTTTCCTGTCTGGGCTGGCTTGGAATTGCAATCCTCTTCATCTCAGCCTCCTATATAGTTTGGGATGACAGGCACCCCCTACTGCACCAAGCTATCAGTTAAGAAAGGATTTGGACAGGGTGCTAATGGCTCACACCTGTAATCCTAGCTATTCAGGAGGCTGAGATCTGAGGATTGTGGTATGAACCTAGCCTGGGCAGGAAAGTCCACGAGAATCTTATCTCCAATTAACCATCAGAAAGCCAGAAGTAGGGCTGTGGCTCAAAGTTATAGAGCACTAATCTTGAGTAAAAAAAAAAGCTCAAGGAGGGGCTGGGAAGGTGGCTCAGTGGTGGAGCCTTGCATGCATGAGGCCCCGAGTTCGATTCCTTAGCACCACATAAGCAAAAAGAAAAAAGCCAGAAGTGGCGCTTTGGCTCAAATGGTAGAGCGCTAGCCTTGAGCTGAAGAGCTGAGGGACAGCGCCCAGGCCCAGAGTTCAGGCCCCATGACCGGACCCCCCAGAAAAGGGAGGGAGGAAGGATCTTGCTTGTTAGACAGGCACTCTGCCATGTAGGCCACAGCTGGGGAGTAGCTCAGTAACAAAGGACTTGCCTATCAAATGCAACAGGTTTGAGCCCCTGTGCCAAAAAAGAAAGGATCTTGCCAACATCTGCCTGGACCAGCCTTGAACCGGGATATTCCCATTATCTCAGGTAGTCTCTTACAGCAGACTAAGACAGATGTGAATCCTTTTTTTCTTTTTTGGCAAGTGCTAGGGCTTGAACTCAGGACCTGGGAGCTGTCCCTGAGCTTTTTTGTTCAAGGCTAGCAATCTACCACTTGAGCCACAGCTCCATTTTTGTTTTTTTGCTGGTTAATTGCAGATAAGAGTCTCTTGGATTTTCCTGCCAGGATAGCTTTCAACGGTGACCCTCAGATCTCAGCCTCTTGAGTAGCTAGGATTACAGGTGTGTCACCAGCACCCAGCATGAATCCTCTTCTACTTAAGTGACTACAAATCTTAATTTCTCTTGGAGAGATTCCCTCTATGGGAAATTTGGAGGTCTGAATAATTTGTGAGTGGAAAATTAAATCAAAGAATGCTTAGGTAGCTGCTCTGGGCTAGGGTACATGCTCATTGCCCAGGGGTTCAAACAATAAGCGCAGTGGAGCCATAGCTTACTAAGTTCTCATCCCTACCTGTCTCAAGTCAAGCGAATTCTGTATACATCAGAGAAAGAGAGAGAGAGAGAGAGAAAGAAAGAGAGAGAGAGCCAACTTTGGGTAGACAAGACCAAGTGCTTATGCTGAGATTATTCCTAATTCCATGTGGAAGATGGACACACATGTTGCCCAGAAGACTAGGTGTAATGGTGTATGTGGCAGACAAAAGTACAAACCGTGGGGAGAGCATACAAGACAAGAGGCCAAAAGGCCTGGATACCTGCGTGTCATTGTACACATTCACAACGTTGACTGGCCTGTGGGTATCACATATAAAGAATATGGTGTCTTCATCAGGCTGGAGGATATCCAGTAGGTCTACATTAGCTCCACAGTTGATGAGAACAAAATAACGGAACTGAAAAAAGAAGGGACACATTGAAGTAATGCACTAAGGAGGCCCCTTCTCCTTCACCCCTAAAGCCTCCCAAGCCCTAAAGCTGAGACATATTCAGCCCCTGACCAATGGTAAAGGGCTTAAGAGTTTGAGCAGACTCAGCAGGCTATTTCTTTTCCAAGATAGAACTGTGACGCAGGCTCTGGGTTCTTTCTGCATCTGAGGAGCATGCAGAAGCTTGCCAAACTTGTCTCAGGCAGAGGGTCAAGGAGCTAATGAGGCTTACACCAAGATCCCAAACACATAATGAGGTCTCTTTCTAAATCTTTTTTTTAAAATATTTTTTATTGTGAACATACTGTACAGAGGGGTTACAATTACATGGGCAAGATAATGAGTACATTTCTTATCAAGCATTGTAGCCTCCTCCTTTGTTTATCCTTCCCATCCCTTCCCAGCTTCCCCCCCCTTCTTTCTAAATCTTAAATGAGTTGTATTGCCTTGCTATACTAATAGCATTATACAAGTTTACGTTATGAGCAAAGCCTGGGCATACCAAACTTAGTTTTTTATTTTTATTTTTGGTTCCTGTGCAGGACCTCACCTTCTCACTTTGTTTTTTGTTTTTTTCCTCTCAAGGCTCATGCTCTACCACTTGAGCCACATCTCCACTTTGGTTTTTTTTTTTGCTGGTTAACTGGAGATAAGAGTCTCTCTGATTTGTCTGCCTGGGTTGGCCTCGAACTCCGTCTCAGTTCTCAGCCTACTGAACAACTAGGATTACAAGTGTGAGCCACTAGCACTCAAAGTCTCACACATTATAGACACCTAAATATGAAGTCCTTTATCAGACTCTTGGTATTACAGCAAAACCGTTCTTTATTGATACTTAACTGAAGTTATAACTGACATTCCTAGGGAAGAGTGATCTTTCCCCAAACTATCTAGAAGTGGCCAGGGACTCCAGGTACCTTTTTCCATGCCCCAACCTCTCTCCAAAGGTCTCACAATGTCCCATCTTTTATTTGGCCCCATGCAGAAATGGAAGAGTCTTAGCTTCTACTGCTTATTCCAAAGGAAGAATATGTTCATAGATTTCAAGTTGGAAATTATGCTACATTTTCTTGATGAGATAACATAAGATAGGGTATATTAAAAGACCTTAGAAACAAATTAAGCTTAAGGTTGGCTGCTGTCCACCTTCAAAGATCCTAGGCAAGTCCTATGAGACTCTTATCTCCAATTCATCAGCAAAAAACCACAAGTGGAGCTGTAGCTCAAACAGTAGAGTGCTAGCTGTGACCAAAAAAGTTCCAAGACCGTGCCCAGGTCCTGAGTTCAAACCCTAGGACCGGCACAATTTAAAAAAAAAAAAACACGAATTGCAATTCAGTAAACACATTCTAAAATTTCATACCTGTTCTTTATGTTCAAGAAATGCTGATTCAAGTTCTTGCCACCCAGAAACTGGAACAAGCGTATATTGCACGTGGTCACACTGAAACAGGGTCTGGCAAGACAGTATTTAAAACCTATAGTTAGGATGTTCATGATTGATCTTGAAAGATACCAGAAACAAAAGCAAAAACAAAAACACGAGGGAGCCTCCCCACTCCGGCTGTTACATCCTAACCGCTCCCCCCTCGACGCCCACCTCCTGGGAACTGCCAGGCTCACCTGCAGGATCTTGCAAGAACACAAAGCGTCCACGTCCGACGCCACGAACAGTAGGACCCTCTGTAGGGGAACATACAGGCGAGCTGAGCCATCCCCCCTCCCACCCACCCACGGCCGCCCGCCCTCATCCCTGCCCCTCAGATAATGCCTCAAGCAAGGTCTTGGATTGGTACTCACCTGGTTTTGGACCAGCTCGTAGAACTCCTTGCGGAAATCGGACACGAACATAGCCACAGCAGCCTGATAACCTACGCTCCGGCTGACACTCAAGCCACCTCCCCCTCTCCCCCTCACCTCCCCCGCCCCGCGGCAGTCAAGACTCCCGCCAAATTACGCCTCTTCTGATTGGCCGAAGTCACCAACCAATAGTTGCCAGCCTTTCTTCCTTTCTGATTGGGCCCTATGGGGGGCGGGCAATAGTACTCCGCCCTTCGCGACTAAGAAAATCCCGGCCGTCAGCAAAAGAAACACCGCCTCTGAGGCAGGAAGCTAAATAAACTTCGACGCTTGTTTACCCAGAACCCCCTGCGTTCCGGCGGACATCTTGACTTTGGGAAGAGTAAGTCTTCTATTACCTCAAACCGGGAAACGCCTCCCCCTCCCCCAAAATACACCTCTAGGCATAGATTAAACCCACGTCGATGGAGGGAAGAAGTTAGGTTTGCAATAGGTCCTTGGTCCAGTGTAAAGGCGGATCTATGCATTACTTCCGCTCGAGTCCATGACGGCTGAAGCCAAGGCCGGAATTTGTGCATGCATTCTGGGAATTGTAGTCTTTAAGGAGATGGGCGCTACCAAATCCGTTTGTGGGAGAGCAGTTGCTAACACAACGTGACTTAAAGTGACTTAAACCTATCTATCTGTGGAGGGGTGAGGTATGAAATACTGTGTAACATTATTTTGGAATAATATTTAGATTTTAGAGCCTTTGCCCTTTTCCTTTTTCCAGCCGATTGCAGGCCTCCGCACCGCCCCCCCCCGCCGCCCCCAGTTGCCAACGTCCGGAACTTCCGGTGAGAGGCTCAGCTGGGAGCGAGGTCTGGGTATCTGTGCGCGGCGGCGGCTGTGGAAGGAATTTGGGGGTTGCTCCCCTAACGTTCTCGGAGAGAAGCGGCGTCTGCGAAGCGCTGTCCACCATGGTAAGCTGGGTAGGGGTCTCAGGCCAGGGATCAAGCCAGGGTCTGGCGGACGAACAGAACCGCTTGGTGGCAGAGATGCCGAGTCACCCTGACCCGAGTCTGGCCCGTGGGCGCTCCGGGGCGCCTCGGACCGGAGTGACAGTGTTTTGACCAGAAACTTTCTCTGCATCGCCACTTGCCCTGGACATGGTTCTCATGCCTCTCAGCTTCACGTGAACCCTTTGGGAGTAGAAAGTAACTCTGCTTCTTTGTATGAGTCTCATTATACACACAACAGGTTTGTTTTAATAAACTCGGTTAGCCGGAAAGTTCTGTGGCATCGGGCGCCCTCCATGGGAAACCCGTAGGGGGCATTTTCCCCGGGTGGGGTAAGGGGCTCCCAGATCTGGTGCCAAGTTCTGTGATCGCTGCATCTAGTTCTTGTCTAGCAGCTACAGCCCCTCAACACACCTTTATTCCCATTCATTTCTACTCGGATGAAAAACCTGATTTACAGACCTAGTTTACTTAAGCTCACAAAAGGAGGTAGAGATTTGAAGCCAGGTCTATCTGGATTCAGGGCTGTTTCATTACTACTGTAGGTGACATTGCCTCTGCCTTTAAAACAAGAAATGATCCTGGGTCATTTTTCAAAAAAAAAAAAAAATTCCGGTCCTCGGGCTTGAACTCAGGGCCTGGGTGCTGTCCCTGGGCCTCTTTGTGTGTGCTCAAGGCTTGCACTCTATCATTTGATCCACAGCGCCACTTTCAGCTTTTTCTGTGTAGTTTATTGGAGATAAGAGTCTAATGGATGGGGGCTGGGAATGACACTTAGTGGTAGAGTGTATGCAGGAAGCTCTGAGTTCTATTCCTCAGTACCACATAAACAGAAAAAGCCAGAAGTGGTGCTGTGGCTTAAGTGGTAGAGTGCTAGCCTTGAGCAAAAGAAGCTCAGGGACAGTGCCCAGGCCCTGAATTCAAGCCTCAGGACTTGAGGGGAAAAAAAAGGAATCTTACGGACTTTTCTGCCCAGGCTTTGAATAATGATTCTCCGATCTCAGTCTCCTGAGAAGCCACCAGCGCCTGGCTCTGAGTTGTCATTTTTCTGTTTCCAAGTATCTGTGTAACAAACACCCAATTCTTGGGCAGTGTGCTAATCATGAAGATTATAAGGTAAGTTGGGCATCGGTAGCTCATGCCTGAAATCCTAGCTACTCAGGAGGCTGAGATCAGAGATTGTAGTTTGAAGCCAGGACAGGAAAGACCTAGAGAAGCTTATCTCCAATTAACCACCAAAAAGGTGGAAGTGGAGGTATGGTTCAAGCAATAGAGTGCCAGCCTTAAAAGAAAAATCTAAGGAACAGCTTCCAAGCCCAGAGTTCAAGCCCCAGTATGGACCCACACACAAATAATAATTAATGAAGAAAAAAAAAAACTTGGAGTCAGGCCCCAGGGAGGGGAAGGAAGTCAAGGCTCAGGAGTTAAGGGTGCTGCATACTGAGAGGCTGAGGCAGAAGGATTATTTGAACCTAGAAGCTTGAAACAATCCTGGTCAGCATAACAAGACTCCAAGGGGACAAAAAACAAACATTTGTTACATTTGGTCTGTTCTAATGTCAGCCTCTCTTTCTTCTTTCTAGTTTTCGTTCAATATGTTTGACCACCCAATTCCCCGGGTCTTCCAGAATCGCTTCTCCACACAGTACCGCTGCTTCTCCGTATCCATGCTAGCTGGGCCTAATGACAGGTCAGATGTGGAGAAAGGAGGGAAGAGTATGTGCTTGTTTTTATTTTGAATAGTAATCTTTCCTGTCCTGAGCCTTCGATGCTTGTGTTCTTCCCCAACTATACTCCTTACTTTGCATATGGGCTCTAAAAGCTAGCATTACAATAAAACTGTCACATGTCCTCAACTTGCTTGAGTGGGCATAGGTGGTGGGAGTGTTACTTATGACTGCATTTGTGATTGGGAACCAATCAGTCCCTTGAATTACACTAAAGTAAGATTCCTTATAAAAGGTCATTATTAAGTTCTGGCTGCCCCCAAAATATTGTTTAAAACATGTAAGAAATAATGGACAGTATATCCTGCCTTCAGTCTATTTTTCTATTTTTATTTTCCTAATGTTTCTTAAATATTCTTTCCACAGTTATTATGCCACCCTCAGCCCTCGATCAACTCAGTAAGTATATTTTAAATAACTTGACCATTTAGATACTGAAAACAGGGGCATCATGACACAGGTGTTAGCATGTCAGGAATCATCCCTGGAGAGCACATGTCAGCAGAACCACTGAGACAAGGCAATGTGTGGAGGTTGCTTACTGTCAAGGCCACGAACACTTGGCTTCATCCAGGACAATGAAATATTCCCTTTCATACAGCTTGGGTTCCATAGCTCATACCTATAATCCAACTACTCAGGAGGTGGAGATCAAAATTGTCCAGATTTAAGGCTAGCCCAGGCAAAAGAAAGAAAGAAGTGAGACTTCATTTCAATCAATTAAAAAAAAAAAAACCTAGGTATTGTAGTACATGCCTGTCATCCCAGCTGTGTGAGAATCATAAATAGGAGAAATGTGGTCCATGACGACCTGAGGATACACTGAAGGATGGGCCAGAGGGGTGGCTTAAATATTTAGTAGCAAGTATGTGACCCTGTGTTCAACCCCAGTGCCACCAAACAAAAGAGACAGAAATATATAATATAGGAAGTCGTAAGTTGTAAGATACAAGGTCACTGCTACAATTGGAGGAATGAAGGGGCACAGAGGACTTGAGTGCCCCAAAGTACCCCTGTAGTTTACAGGGGGAATCTGGACAGAGCGTTTGAGTCTCTTCTAACTGCAGCAGTCCAGTTTCTGCCACTAGGTGGTGCTTTAGGGACATAGTACCTAGTATATGATCCCTGGGCTCCTGGGCTGCCAGCATCAGTCACTCCTGTGATAGTATAGTCCCCACCACACTTCCATAATGAGATGTTTCCTGAGCATCTCTGGAGCTTTCTACCAATCACTTCAGATGATGGGCTCCACTAAACTTTTAGGGGAGCCCAGAAGCCTATTTTACCTCCTGATACTAAAACATTTATCTAGACTGAGACTCTCCAGTCTGTTCCAGTGTCAGAGTCTACAAACTTCAACCAACAGCCTGGATTTAGACCCTAGCATCACCACTCCTGAGATATCCCATCCTAGACATGTTAATTCTCCCCCATGCTTTGCCTTCTAAATAGGGTGGGGAACCTTTTTTCTGCCAAGGGCCATTTGGATATTTATAGCATCATTTGAGGACCATATAAAATAATATCCAGTCACATACTGAATGTCTTCTAGGGTCTTATGGCCAACAGAATGGGCTGTCCCTAATGCCCACTACATAAAGAGTACATAGTGATAGTACCACCCACCCCTACTGAGAGGATCCAAGGTCCTTGGATATGGCAAACACCATTGGTAACTTTACAGACTTCCTCCAGAACCCTAGTCTCCTAACCTATGACCAGACATTCTTTTCTTGTGTGCCTCTTGAATGAACAAGCCAAAAGCCCTGTTTGCAGGTTCCTGCCCTTTTGACAGCCCTTGCTTCATGGACTACTGGGTTGAGGAGATGAGATGCCATGACCAGGCTGACCCCAAGCTGCCTAGATACTAGATTCTAGATACATCCCAGTCTCCCTTCTGTTCCTCACCACTTCCATGCCTGGTTTGGGTCAACTTGCCTAGTTGCTAATCATTCCACAAACTATCAGGGTTCTTCTTCATTTTATTGCTTAGAATTCCCTTCTCATTGGTTTTTCTCCCCAGACAACAGGCCTGGTGACTGGCCTGGAGACCTGGGTCTACAGGATCCCAAGAATTTGTCCCCTGTTCCTTCCTCTTTCCCTATACCCTCACATTCCCAGAGCACCAGCAGCATCTGGTCATGCCTGCTCCCCTTCTTAAATAGAAAACTTCGAAGTTAGGCATTTTTGTCTGGTACATGGGTAGCATTTAAATTACTCATGAAGAAATGAATGAACATGTCACTTTTTAGAATTGCAATTTCAGGAAACCAATCTGTACCAAAGTACCTAGGTTTTCCTAAGCGTTTCCTCCTGGGCTACATGCTGTGTTTTAGGATTTTTGTTTGTTTGCTTGTTTTTTGTGTTTTTTG